ACACAATCACTCTTCTCTGAGTGAGTTATGCCGTTAGTTATCTCCTGGTGCCTTTGTGATGTATTTTCATATGATGTAATAGTTGCAAACATCTTTGAAATTGTACTTTGCTGTTGCTAGCTACTAGATTGAGCGTCACTGACAATACTTTTGGTTGACTTTTTAGCAAGATACTCCTCATAATTTCGCTGTGGTGCTTTATTGGGTGCTGGTTGTTGTATTTTCTCATGCTGTGGCAACAATTCTGCGACAGCTCTTACAAATGACCAGTTTTTGTTCAGTGTCTGTGACTTTGAAACCAAAATATTTCCATATTACTGACATGCTGTTTTTTTTTTATATTAATTAGTCTTGCAATGCTTCGGAAGTGGCGGCATCATCCCACTTATCCACGCTTTCTGTTTGTTTTATTTTGGGCTTTCCGCATAGTTGGCGCTATTCTGATTGGGCAGAACAAAAGTGTGCTTACTCAATTGGCTAGTAAGACCAATTTGCATTTGCTCTTGGTGAAGGAAATTATATAATAGATGAATATTTTTTATTAAAGCCTCTTGCAATTAGCTAATCGCCTCGTTTCAAATCGCAATTGTGATTAAATTTTGATTAATCGCACAGCCCTAGTTTAAAGTTTAAATGTGCTTTATGCATAGCACAAGTTTTATAGCCAACGATAAACCTCCGGTGAAAGTTTAATGTGAGTATTTTTAATTTCACAAGGCTGTTTTTACAGCAATGTTGTAATGTGATTACAATACATTCAGTTAAATAGACTTAAGCTTCCATTTAGTTATTAAACGAGATGCGTAAAACGAGATGAATGTAACCACTAGATGTGTAACCACTAGTGGCATCAGTAGCAACAGGCTAGCACAGAAATTCCATTGAAAATACTGGAGTAAAATAAACTCATATTTTGAAGATGTGGCAGGGGGAATTAAAATTTAATTCAGTGCTTCTCTTTCGGTCTAAGACCCACTTCATATCATATCTGTAACAGGCAGTGAAGATGGCTGATTTTTATACAAATCAGATCTTAAACGTGACAAATTTGTAACGGAAAGACAGTGGCTAAAAATTTAAAGTCTGTGTGCATAAGCCCATTTATCAAGTTCAACTGAACCTGGTCAATAGTTAAAAGGATAGTTCACTCAAAACTGACAATTCTATTATTTACACTCGCTTCACTTGTTTAAGACCTATTTGAGCTTCTTTCATCTGTTGAACACAAAAGAAGATATTTTGAAGCAAGCTGAAAGCCTGTAACCACTGATTTTCATTGTATTTGTTTCTTTTTACTATTGAGATCAATGATTACAGGCTTTCAGCTTCCTTTAAAATATCTTTTTTTGTGTTAAACACAAGAAAGAAAATCAAAATTAAACCCACCTGAGGGTAAGTGAATGGGGAGTTAATTTTCTTTTTTGGGTGAACAATTTCTTTAACATTTGAAGAAACTCATTTCAGCTATTTTGTAAAGCTACTGTTTATGTGCTTCAGAAAAATTAACAAAATTATCCAGTCATAAAATTAAAACATATATTAGACATATATGTTTTTTTCTCTCTTTCCGGGCTACAGTATGAACACTTTAACATTGATAATTTTCTATAAATGCCTAAAATCAACATCCCTTTTATTATGATTTCAGAATAATCACCGTTCATCTATTTATAGCAATTTTTAGACTACGCTTTGCAGAGGTGCTTTGCAATGTATTTCACATCTTGTCTGTCTTCTTGATCTTGATTCATTGCTTTTTCAAAAGTAAACTGACATCTAATTTCCTCCAAAATGCAAAAAGCACAGTTCTCTTTTAAAAAATCTTTTGAAACACCTTTTGCTTTACAATGATTTCTTAGAATATTGCCCAGCAGGTGAAAGCAGAAATGGACAGATCCTTTTATGTGGCTTTTTCGTTTTCGATTACTTGAGATGCTGATATTCACCCCAATTGCAGACTAATCAAAAACCATCATGTTGTTGCAGGTACTGTATTGTTCAACACACAGGCTTGCACCGTCCTTGTGAATCTGCCAATGAATAATGTATTCATCCCAAAAGGGAGAGAGAGAAGAAAAAAAAAATTCACTCTATTTGTGTGCACTCATTGTGGTTGCAGAATTGAACTAAGTTGCCGTAATACAATAAATTACTGAATATTAACTAGCAATGTTAAAGCACAGCTTTACAGTGTAATCTGCAGAACTAAATGATATTCATTACAGAATGCTATCCTTTAATTAGTCATGAATACCTTACATCTTTCCAAAGCATTCAAACAGACAGGGTTTCAGAGCGTTTTAGGAGGTTTCTCTTGAAGTTTTGCCACTTGCGCAGAAAATATGTAGTGCTTAGCAACGCTTAGTCATTTTAAATTTCTTGGACAGTCAAACACTTTTGCACAAAGGTAGATCAATTGCGTATTGAATCTTTGAGCTGCTGACAAACATACAGTCTATTAAATCCTGTTATATTATGAGCTGGAAATTTAGAAAACGTTCAGGCACAAAATGCTAATGGTTAGCTTTTCAACAGCTTCATAACATGAACAATAAAACATATTGGATTCTCGGATGCTTATAAATAAGAACCTAAATGTTAAATTTGAAATAAGATGAGCTGTGACATTACAATGTTTATAATGTATCTGCAGATGGTAAATAAACAAATTAAAGAGGGTGGGGGGTGGGGGGATAATCAAATTTAAAACACCTGAAATTTATATTTTAGAAATGGCTTCCATTTCTTGCAGGTGAACAACAGATTACTATTACTATGATTACCTCAGGTACACCTCATGTGCTTTATTCAGTGCTAAATGCTAATAATGTGAGTTTGAATGCCATTTTACATAACATGTATTACCATAATACTGAAAGCAGCAGCAAAAAAATCACCTCAGATCTTGAAAATAAAACAAACCCTTTGAAAATGAACTTTAGAATTGTAACTCAATGCAAGTCAACACATGTCTGTTATTTAGCATGTAAATTTAATAATGTTAAAGAGGTTTAATATACACTCATTAGGTAATAAACTGTACCATTTTGTGGGAGTGCAGTAAGTGCACTATTCTGTGCGTCTGAATGGCTAAATTTAGGTTTAGTCTGGTGCAAACAGCCAAACTGCTCATCACTACAAATCTCACTGTTAGGACATGGGGTTACAATGTAAACTGCTCACCCAATGCTTAAATTCGAAATATTTACAGTATTTGATAATTAATAACCAACTCATGTAGAACTCAAAATATGACATCTGTCCACCAGAAGTTGTATTTCGGACACGGACGCATACTTTGAGAGGCTGAATGTATGAAATACACTGTTTTCCAACGAGGCAACCTGGGGTGCTGAAATATAATTGGCTAAACTTGCATTGGGCGGGTTAAAAGAACCAAAACAAAGACAGCCTTCCAGCACATAACACACATTTTCAGAGCAAAATATCTGACTTCAAAATTGTTTTTCAGATAAACAAGAGTGTTCACTTAGCATGTTTCCTAAATATCTGCAAACATATTATGGTATTTTTATGCTTTAGAGTCAAAAAAATTGCACCTTTAAAATGTTAAAATTAACTTTTGTGAAAATATATTGTCAATTAAGATTCCACCATTATTCATACATGTATATAGTTTGGGAACTGACATTTTGTTATTAAAATATGTAAAAGTAATCATGCTAAAGGTTACTTTAAAAAAAAAAAAAAAAATTTACTACATACTATAAAACCAGTCTGAAAGGTACTTGCCTAGCAGTTATATTTCGATTTTGTGGCTTATTTTTGGTTGAGTCTTTTTTTTTTTACCTCAAATGATTTTTGTTCTGATTATGTTTTACATTTTTTGGTAAACAAGCTATTGTTACGCCAAGTGATATATTGGGATTTTTTGTTGTTGTAAATAACGACAAAAAAATATAATAATTGACACAATTTTAATCACTCCAGCTTAGGCCCTTCCTTTTATTCCATTCAAGCTTGCTACAGCAGAATGAACCACCAATGATTCTGTCAAGAATGCCCTTTCTGCCGCCAAACCCGGTGTTCTGTTGATTTGTCCCTACCTTGTCAGATTGTCCTACCCATCAATCCAAAGGTAGTTAGTTAATTTTGATGATGCAATATGCTACCCATCAGATTTTGCTACCAGTGTAAATTTTTATGTGGAGTAGAGTGATGTGAAGCTGTGTAACCTACCTAATCCCTAACCCCAAACTCAGATCCATTCAAATACAGTGTTGGTAGCATAATCTGATGAGTAGGATAAAAAGTCAGGACACTGGCCCAGAGAATATAACTAATACAATCCCCAGTGCTGGAAAAAACCCACACACACACACTCTCATTCACACTCACACTAATGATCAATTTGTAATTTTCTACTTAAAAGAGAAATGCCCATATGATGTACACATTCCCAATTCATACAGGATCCCATATAATGTGGAGTTCCAAAACAGCTGGAGCAGTCAAGCAGAAATACAGCGTGCAATCAGTGATTTCTGAGATGCTACTGTGCTCTTGTGGGGCTAAAGATCACTACATAAGCCTGTCTGACAAAATGGTCATTCTCAGGTAAGGATATAAAATTCATTTGTTTCTCCTTGATTGAGCATCTTTTGAGAATAAGCAATCATTTGCAGAGTGCAGGGAGGAGGGAAACATAGGTCTAAGACTGGGGGTGTAATTTTCTTGTTTAATGTACCATGCGCGAAAACGAAGATCTCACGTGTTCCTCTGGAATTGTAATTAAGGACAAGATGGAAGGGCGGCAAATTATCACAAGCATTAGAACTAAACGTGGCCTTCTAATACATTCTCTTGCTCATGTGGGTGACCCTCTCAAGAGTTATTGAGGGGTGAAGAAAAAAAAATCACATCAGCAGAATTAAAAGAATTGCTAATAACACAAAAATATGAAGTAAGCATCTTGGGATGTATGTTTGGGGAAAACCAGGACAATGTGAGGGAGTTAGAAGCTGAAGTTGAAGAGTTACCTTGTCTGCATCAACTTTCCCCTTGACAAACTCTGACCTCCAGAACTGCATGGCCTGTTCCAGAGTAAGACCAATGCCCTTGAGGAAGAGGCCGTACTGCATGCGTCCACCGTGCCGCAGGTGGTGGTTCTCCCTCAGTGCCTTGTGGAGATGCCTCATACATAGAGGAAACGACTTGCCTGAGAGCTGGTGGAAATAAACAATAGAGAGGTTATTAAAGATCCCCTGAAGTGCAATGGAATGAGCAGCTTTGCTGAATGTGTTGACTAAACTTCAACTGAAACATGAAGACACAGTCACTGAGCTCATGACAGCTAAAGTCTATTAAGCAATGCTGAGTCTGTCTGACCATTCCGCTGCTTTAAAAGACTAAATTTAAATGTAAAATTCAAATGAAACGGATAACTTTTTAGATGTGAAATGTGCAAGGCCAGAGCAGAATGTGCATGTTCTTATATATGCAAACGCTAAACCCTTGGTTTGAATGGACAGTTATACAGAAATATTATAGGTGACCAACTTCAGTTACATCTTGCAATGGGAAGAACAATTCAGAGAGCATTTGATTGATCAGAAAGTTGTAAAAGCTAAAATGCATGTTGACATCATAAAAATATATTTCATTCATATTGTAGGAAGAAAGAAACTCAACATTTTGATTATCTTTATCTCTGAAATGTAAATTGTCATTTTTTTGTCTAATTTAAGCACTTTTCAAGCACTTTGCAGATGCATTTACCAACTTTTCCAGGACTTCACAAGAGTGGCAAGTTGTTATGCAGTTGAAGTCAAAATTATTTGCCCTCCTGTGAAATTTTATTATTTTTACAATGTTTTCCAAGTGACCAAGGAAATTTCTTCTAGAGAAAGGTTTAAAAAAATTATAATAACAATATCACTTTCCTAAAAAGCCAGATCTCACTGTACAAAATGCCTAAACCAGGGGTGTTCAAAATCGGGACCTGGAGGGCCAGTGTCCTGCATAGTTTAGCTCCAACTTCCTTCAACACGCCTCACTTTAAATTTGTAGAATACCTAGAAAGAGCTTGAATAGCTGGTTCAGGAAGGTTTATCTGGGGTTGGAACAGGACCGAGTTTAGACACACCTGGCCTAAACAATACTTACTTACCTACTTATTTACCAACCTACTTACTTTCTTACCTACCTACTTACCTGCCTACTTACTTACCGAAAATACAGACCTACTTACATACCTACCTACCCATCAACTTACCTACCTACTTTCTTACCTACCTACCTACTTTACCTAAAAACTAACCTACCTACAGTTCCTACTTATCTACCCAATTACCTACTTACTTACCTACCTACTTACTTGCCAGCCAACCTACCAACTAACTTGCCTACTTACCTACTTACCAAATTACTTGCCTACTTACTTACCTACAGTACCTACTTACTTACCTACCTACCAACTTACTTGCTTACCTGCCTACCTACAAACTTACTTGCCTAATTACTTACCTACAGTACCTACTTATTTACCTAGCCAACTTATCTACCTACCTACCAACTTATTTACCTACAGTGTCAACCTACTTACCAACCAATTTACTTACCCACCTACTTAAGTTACCTATCTACCTACCTACCTACCAACCTACTTACTTACATACTTACCTACCTACCAACCAACCAACCAACCGACCTACCAACCTACCTACCTACCCACTTACCTACCTGCCTTACTAGCCTACTTACCTACTTTCTTTCTTACCTACTATGTATTTTCATATACAGCTATACATTTTTCTGTTTTTTTAGAGGCCTAACATAGAGATACAAACACTGACCAAAAAACTTTCAACAAAAAAACAACAAAAACTTTGATTTGTATTTCAAGGGAACTTGAAAAATGCCTTGTCTTATAATTAGCAGTTATCAGTTATCAATCTTTTCAAAGATGTCAAAGACAGAGAACGCAAGTCCACTGAGAACACAAAACACTTGTGACACAATTACAGCCAATCAAGAGATATTCTAAATGCACAATTAAGTTTAGTCACTAAAAATTAAGAAAAAGCTTTACCGCACCTGGCTAGGATGTGGTGTAAGATTGATGTGAGGAATCAAAACATTTTTTAAAAGCCTTTGTTTAATGCAAAGCCTTTAATTACAAGAATTTTCCATGCAGTCAATAATGTTCAAATAAAAGCAAAAAGTGAAGGACAAAATTTGCATGTGCTGATGAGCCACTTAATTGGAACAGAACCGGCCCTGAGATGACATACACAACACAAAGAAACAGACATGCACAGACAGACAGCTTTCTACCCTAGACACATCTGTGCACATCCATTCCAACCCCCAAAGTAGGACATGCTCAATGTCCTAGCAACTTGAGTGTTCAGGGAAAGGAAAACCTTAACATGAGTGCAAGTCACAAGTGTCAAATATAAAGCAAGAAGTGAAGTACAGCTCCTGAGATAAAATAAATCTTACAAATTCCCAATGCATTCTATGTAGCACCTTGTCTTTCTTTTTTGCTAGATTTTCAAACATGTACACACACAATATTCAATATACAGAATTATTGCAAACCAAATTAAGTCCATACTTACTGGATCAATTTGCTCCAGAGAAATCTTTCCAACATTTTTCTGAATGCTGTAATCCTGACCCACATAAGCATGGCTAAGACAAAGAAGAAGGGATAAATGATTAGAGCCAATCAAGGTGAAAAAAAGAACAAAAATGCACAAGGTAAGAGCAGAGAACGGATTAACATAGGCAGATTATTTAAATGCATTCATGTTTTCTGGTCAGGAAACAAGCAAAGCACATACCTCAAAAAAAAAAAAAAAAGATTTTGCATACGCAGTTTTGACGGCTGTTAACAATGCTGTATATTTGATTACCTTAAGTTAGATATATTTTTGCTATACAAAGTAAAAACAAAACATCTAGGCATAGTAGTAGTCGGTTTTGTTTCAGTCCAGTCAAGTATTGGGTCACTGAATTTTATATGAAAGTGTGATGCTTATTTTCCTCAAACATTACTGAGCTCTCATCTCACAATATAGTAATCCATATTTAAGATGACCCAAAGCACAGATTGTGCAAGAAAGATTTTTCTTTTAAGAAAATTAATAATTACTACTTCTATTAAGCAGGAATGCATTAAATTAATGCAAAAAGTGACAGTAAAGAATCTATCATTGGTACAAATATACAGTTGAAGTCAAAATTATTAATCCTCCTGAAATATTAGCCCCTGTATATTTTCCCCCAATTTCTGTTTAATGGAAAGAAGATTTTTTTCAACACATTTGTAAACATAAGTTTTAATAACTCATTTCTATGCCCACACAAAATCTATATGCGCAGATATCCGCATATTTCCACAGTTTTTTTAGCCCATCAGTCTATCTATTTACATATGTAAATGTATTTTTAGTCAGTTTTTCATTAATATTTTTGTGATATAATATTATCATTATTAAAATATTCATTTGATTTATTTACAATACAGTTTGTAAATTTATATTTTCTGTCTTGTAGTAAATATATGATATGAGAGACTTGCTTTGTGTACTAAATAAGCAGATATGATTGGGTCTGCATTGTAAACATTAAATAAAAGTTAAAATTGTATTAATTGTTGATTTCATACATTTAGTTATGATACTCCCAAAATCATTCTGCATAAAACCACGGATTTTTTACAAAATTCTCCAAAGAAATAGCTAAAAATTATCTGCAGATTTTGTCTGACCCTACTCATTTCTAATATCACATTTCTTTTATCATTGCCATGATGACAGTACATATTATTTGACTAGATATTTTTCAAGATACTAGTATTCAGCTTAACGTGACATTTAAAGGCTTAATTAGGCAATATAGGGTGATTAGGCAAGTTATAGTATAATGATGGGTTGTTCTGTAGACAATCAAAAATAAAAATTGGTTAAGAGGGCTAATAATATGAAACACTAAAATACATATGTGGAATGTATATATATACACATATATAGCAGACCTCTTTTTTTTTTTTGTAAATGAGCATTTTCTATCAGGCTCCTCTGATTAGGCTCAGAAGTTTCATTTTACATGTAATACGGTTATTAGCTAGTAAATAAAATACCCTTTTTTCAAAAATATCACTTTACACATATCTTTGGTTTTTAACAAGGTAGATCTTCTTTTGCATCAAAACCAGCTAACCCACTTCTGCTTTTTATGCAAAACCCTCTAAATCCACCTAATGGGACAAGACATTGTAATTAGTTGAAAATCACTAAAGATGCAATTAGAGATTATTTTACCAAACATAAAACACATTAAACAAATCACCTGAAATTAAAAATACATCTGTCAAGTAAGTGGCGGTTCATTCTTTTGTGGTAACCCCTGATAAACCAGGGAATAAGCAGAAGGAAAATGTATAAATGCAATCTGTCAAGTGCATTAATCAATAACATTAAAATTGACATTAATTAAATCATAATCTATTGTCATTTCTGATATTTGGGATTTGGATTTAATGCAAGTAGAACAATGTAAACAAGCTTATTAGATTCAAATAATGTAGTGTAAAAACACTGTGAAACATTAATATCTGTGCATTGTCCATAACAAAAAAAATATAATTTATTGAAGTAATATAATTTTTTTTTTTTTTTATAGTTTTATACATTATTTATCTTTCAAAACAGCTTGCATTAGCAAATAAAACACTAAGTATTCCTACTGTGCAAAAAAGAGGATGTCATTTATTCATCCTCACTATACTCAAGATCTTGGTCTCTTTTTCATCTCTTGTTTATCCTCATAGCATCCATCCAGGATAAAAGAACGCCATCTTAACTTTGTCTTTCGTGAAATGGAGTTGCTGTTTAATGTACTGTAGCTATAGTAAATCGGACTCATTCAAAGTAGTGTCGCTGCGCAAACAACCGTTTTGAATGCATGCTACACTTCCAACTGTACATTGTGCTTTTTTTTTCTTATAATGAAGAGTTTTAAGGTAAGGGAAGTTTTTATTTGTCATTCAGTGGCAGTTGAAGAGGCTCATGCAGTTCATCAAACTCCGTCTTTTAAATTCGAAAGTGAAATAAAAAGCTCTCTTATAAAAGCCAGAGTATCAGCACTCTTCTACATCGAAAACATTTTTCGAATCACGCCTGATAGGTTCTCTGGATATATCGGCTTTTGCTGTCAAAAGCAAGTGGCGTTCAGCGGCTTTTGCAAACAAACTTATTTCTGAATGCGCTGACGCTCGGATTCAGATGATTTCAAACAAAACTATTTGTTAAACAAGTACTACGTGCCTAAAGCATTCACTCAATATCATTATCTTATTTTTAACATAAATGGCATTTAGCAGCCTTGTTCTTGATTAACGTTCTTTATGTTTATTCAGATGGCAAAGTTAGTTAGTATCGTCAGAGGTACTATTTCAGTTTTTAAAGACATACTTTAGCCAAAATGATTCAGTTACTAAGTTTACAGTAATATCACTACAAAATCATAGACTGAAGATCATCATAAGTTCTTCACAACATTGACAACTTTATAAGGCGCTCATACAAAGCTGGACTGATGCAAAGAATTTCTTTAGGTCTGCTCCTACCAAACACTGAAGCCATGTGTGATGTTATGAATTAAGCATTTCCAGACCCTTCTCCCCAATTCCTTTGCATTCCCTCAGTGTTTAGCTCCACGCTGGCCCTTCACACCCTCTTATCTGGCCAGCCCAGCGTTGACAAAAAGTAAAAGAGCCTACTAACCAATCCTCCGCAGCCACAACTGTCGTCTCTAAAGACACATCCAATTAAAATGCTCTCATTCAGAGTCCATCAAAAAGCAAATGAATTGACTGCTGGGAATGCTGCCATTGTTCCCCTTCATTGCGAGCAATTGGAGGGACATGCTTGTATGAGAATGCGATGTGGCCAACGACTGAGAAGCCTGGCTTTAATCTACACTGGTATCCCCGCTGGGCTGCTGCCAAAATGGAAGAGCGGGTTCACACATGGAGGACCCTTGGTGCATCATAATGGGACTGTGCCCAGACCATTAATGAAAAGAACTCAATGAAAGTGAGTGTGAGAGATAAAGCAAAGCAGCCGGAGTCACTTTGTGAGACGGTTGGCCTTGAATGGACAGTTTGATCTGCTCTCAGTAGGCCAAGGTAACTGCTAAACAAAAACCGAGGATTATTGTGGGAATGTTGTCTAGAGTGGTATTTTTCAAAAGAAAAGCCTCATGTGGATATGTCTGAATTAAATTGGTGGCATTCGTTTAATTGCTGTAATATCCACAAAGCAATGCAAGTGTACGGTTTTATGCCTTAAGACATTTTTTACTGATGTCAATTACCTGAGGTGGCTCAAAAGAGGCTGGAGGCGTTCATCAGACTGTACGGCTGGCAGAGATCGAGCAGTCACCTAAAAGAAAAGAAAAACGTAAAATACAGGTCAGGGGTTAATGCCTTTTTATAGTGGTGCAGTAGAATACATTCAAAAAGGTCAATAACTGAAGCACTGTAGGGTCCAGCCAGTTGGTCCAATGACGGTATCCAATGGTGGATGAAGGTTCACTGCATGTTCGGTCTTTCCAGTGCACAATGTTGATTTATATTAAACTTAACTCATATCTGACTCCAATTTTAGTATGAGATGGTTTAGAATATTAATATGTTTATCCTCGTTTTATCTGACTCCAATTATAAAACATTGAGAAGGTTATTTTGTTTCCGTTCACATTAATTTAGATTATGATTGAATATTCTCTTCGGTTCATCATTTTATGTTATTCTCGTTCATTGGGATCTCTATAACATCCTGAATCTTGTACCGGCCGAGTATACAATTTCTTAAGCACAAGCATGTCAGTCTTGGTCACTAAACAGGGGCGATTGACCGCTATCCTAAAAAGGCAGAACCCTACTTACTCAGATTAGGATATTTTTTATGCGGTCCCCATAGGTCTGCTACCTCCTAAATCAGACAGAGCTATTTAGTCATATAACGATCATTACTATAGAATTAAGCAGACCAGTCGTACTCAAACTAGTAGTAACTTTGAATAATCACTATACTATCTAAATAGTATTAAAAGTTTATCGGGTGAAGGACTATCCCCTTAGATATCCTTTTACAGCCTAAGTATACATGAATAAATGCCAATTTGTTAGTCGGAGCTCTAGAGACATCGTGTAACGTGCCGCAATGCTCCGTCTACCGTGTTCTAGTCCGCTACTAACCTGAACAGGGGCTTGTGGTGCTATGAAATTACCACAATCTACTAAAGATAATAACACGAACTCTGTTTGAATCATTCAAAACATAACAATTTATTAGTCAGGTAAATGTATTATGCCAATTCAATCAGTCAATTCATAAACGATCAATACAAAACATCAAATTATCAAAGATAAATCCAAGATGAAAAAGATGCATTCCTGACTTTGAAATATACATAACATGGAACAAGCCATGTTATGGGCTGATCTGGTTAGGCAGAATCGCCCTGAGCTTTTCTTAGGCCTTACCTTAAATAATCCAAGAATTCCCTCAAGGAAGGGGGTGTGAATGTATAACAAAAGGCATTCACACTTAGTGTCACACCCCTCACAGTGGTTCAAAAGATGCCTGAAGTTATATATTTATTGTTCTGATTATGTCTATTTCTGAGAGAATGAGACCATTGTACCGATCGCACTGAGACATTTCAAATGACATCAAACATGATAGTTAAAGTCAGTTTGGTTAATTCTAGAACATTCAAACATTGAAATGACCATATGTGTGAGTTGGGGGGATGAAGCAGACTCAGATGCAAATGCAGCAGGAACTGGTTTTTCCCGCATTCCCCTTGCTGAGTTGTGAAGTTACCAGTCTCTGTTTTCAGCTCATGTTTTGAATTGTCAAAGGCATCAGAATATTTGCAATATTTCAATTCTTACAGCACGAACTGTGAATTTATCCGAACAGAATTATTTTACAAGACTTTTTGATCTTCAAAAAGGTACACATCATAAAAATGTAACTTATAAATCGAATGAACACAAAACAAAAAGTCTTTACTAGGTGAAATAGTTTTTTTTTTTCTAACAGAAAATAATGTTTTTAAATATCTCTACCACAAGATCATAAATCAGCTTTGCAGCTAACGTGTCAGGATATCTGTTAACTGAAGCAAAACGGAGACAATGATGAAGAGACGTGGAGGTCTGAGGATGATCAAGCTATCGAGACGATGACAAACTGCAGCGTAGGCAGCACACTTTCCAGTCCAATGACCACTGACACACAACCCTTAAAACTCGATTGTCTACCATCCAAATCCACAACACAGTTTCATTTAAACAAACGAAGTGAATATCAATGATGACATTCATGGATTTAGAGGGATAAAAGGAATAACAGCTCAGCAGTGCTGAAACATACTTAAAGGAACAAACTTCAAATAAAGAGCGCCAACATTTCCAGGATTTTCAGACTGTCAAGGGGGTCACTTCAGTTAAAGTGATTCAATGGAGGTTTCTGATCATTTGCAAAAAAAAAAATTTCAGTGAAGCAAAACTTTACTTACTAACGGACTTCCAGGGCCTTTTATATCGAAGTTGATATTTAGCCACACCATATTGGTGTTTCGTAACACCTTCATGTTATAAGCTGGGTTGTTAGCCCAACGGTCAACCCCCAACCAGCAAAACCAGGACATGCACACATACACTACAGACAATATAGCTTACCCAATTTACCTATAGGGCATGTCTTTGGACTGTGGGGAAAACCGGAGCACCCGGAGGAAACCCACGTGAACACGGGGAGAACATGCAAACTCCACTCAAAAATGCCAACTGGCTCAGTCGGGACTCGAACGAGTGACCATCGACCACCGTGTTGCCAGAAGCAAAACTTTATCAAACATAAACAAATAAATACCTGAATTAAATAGAAACATTAGCAACGGTACTCAACAAATTTGAGTTAAACTGACGTGCACATAAATCTCAATTTCTTGGTTCAGGTCTTAGCTCACTGAAATAAAAATAGTCCAGAAGAGAGTGAACCTTGCATTATTCAAATTACTCAAAAATACACTCTCAGAGGCCACTTTTATAAGTTTTTGTACACTTGTTTAACAGCTGTTTAACACATCTCATCAATCAACCACTGCATTGGCTAATGACAGCAACTCAGAGTATTTAGGATCAGGTTATGATAATCTGCTAAAAGTTTTTGAATGGTGAGATTGGTTTGAACTGATATACAGCAACCATAACTCCCATAATGCTTACAAAGGTCTGCAGAAGGCAAAGGGTGGACCAATAAAAAAAAGAAGTTATTAGTTATTTCTTAGCCACATATTTTAAATAATGTGTCAAAATAACATCTGTGAATATAGAATTTTATTATTTTAAAAATGCTAATAAATGTATAATGAGAAGAAGTTCTAGACAAACAAACAGCAGTATGGAAAATGTGCAAGTATTTTATTGCAGTTCTAAATTATTTAACAAAATGTAGATGACTTGTCAAACTGACGGCAAACTGCAAAACATCAATTAATTTTTTAATAAGATAATTTGATGTTGCCGCCATGTTGGTTGTCTATTTGCTGTACTGGTTGCAACAAGCAGAAGAAAAAAAATTACTTGCTCACAACATCAGATAAGAGGAACAGAAAAGCAGAATGGTGTTTACAACATCACAGAGATGGTAGCATTTAAAGGCTTAAAAGCACAAACAGTTCTCAGTTCTAAGACTGTATTTAAACACAATTAACAAAGAGTCGCATTAATTAAAAAATTCAGCACGGCCCAACTGGGCCAGTTACAATCCTACTGTCCTGAGCATCTCTCACGCTGGCCGCAGGCCAGTGGGCAGTCCTTATTGTTGAGCCCTGTAGGTTATAGGGTTGTCGCAATACCATTAATTATTGTCATGATACTATACAATATGAAGTATCATGATACCAACAGTATTGCAATACTGTAATTCATAACTCAAATCTATGAAAGAGAATAGATAATGATAATCATGAAAAAAATTCAGAAATACAATATTTTATTTGTTATTTTAGGCCTACTTGAATTGAATGAATAATTCCCTTATTTTTATTCCCTTCACCTAAAATGCATTTATATATATATATATATATATATATATATATATATATATATATATATATATATATATATATATATATATATATATATATATATATATATATAAAAAAAATCTATTGTTTTTTTTTTCAGTCTTTGGTAAGAGTCCAAAGTATTTCAACATTTCACTTTGTGAATTGTCCTTTTTAAGAGATTGTCACGGTTGTTGTAGCTGTTAAATCATGTTGACACGAGCGGAATTTAACTGATGCATCAGAAAAATGTGCAGTAGGCTGCCATAAAAGGCAAGAATTCTAGATTTGCAACCTTAGAAGGCTCTATAGAATATCAAAGTAAAATTATCTATTGTTGCACAAATGTAGGAGCATTTTAGTGACTTTTTCACATGCAACAGTGTATTGTAGATAGACAGTTAATGACAATGCTACCATCTACAAACTAAAGTGGCACCACCAGTATTTTGGAGCCATAGTATCAGGACACTTTCATAGTTTCGGTAAACTGTGCAACCCTAATAGGTTATAACAAAGTACACCTAATAAAGAGTCCAGTGAGTGAATAAATACTTTGCTCACCTCATCCCTGTTCCATTCATTTAAAACTCAAGTCCAGATGTAATGATCAAGATCCCTCAAATTTATACTTTGAATTGTGATTTTATAATAAGAAGGGTATGAGTCTCAGCACTAGATTAAATGATAAAAACTAGAGTGCAGATCGGCCATTTGGACAGTTGAGATTTCTTTCAAACTATTTTATGGGTAATAATCATTTTTATTGTTATTATTCTCTTCACTTCCAATCTGATTATCTTCTGAGCGAGACAAGACAGTACATTTAAAAGATTAAAATGCTGCAGATTTATATGTCACTGAGGTAAAGTTATCTCTGGCCAATATGGATTTCATGGCCTTGACAGTATCAATAAGAAAATCAGAAAAATAAAAATGGCAGCCGTAGAGCCATTTTTAGAGAAATCCCTAAACAGAAGAGCAAATACTGGAAAATAACCAAGTTAAAAGACATAACCAGGGCAGACATTTAAGCAGTAATAGGTGACTTAGTAGTTCTATTGAATCCAGGCACTGTGAAATTATATTATGAAACATCCGGTTGGATGTTTCATAATATAAATTCTGACACTTCTGAAAACAAAATTAATCATGTACACTACATAAAAGACAATCTGAGAAGCCATTTTATTCTTTTATGTTATCAAGTGAAATCCAGACCACCTGTCATCACAGATAAAAGCTCAGAACAAACTCTTTGTCAGATGGGAAGCAGCTTTCAATTTCATGGTCATTT